TGATCAGAAAACCGGAGCATTGGGAGAACTTGCTCCAAATTTTGAATGCATATGCCCAGTTTGGATCAAGACTGACATTTGCAAACGTTCACTCGGAATACTAATTCAGAGCCGTGATAGTCAGTGTCCTCTGCAGACCCGCTAAAAGGAAAATTTATTTATTTGACACATGAAATGTGACAATGACTTGGTGCTAACTCAATGAAATTTTTGGTGGTCATTTCATGGCATCTGGTGAAAATACTGAGGGATAATTTGGTGTTAGATTCATTAGGTCTGGTGATGAAATCATTTGGTGAATTCATTTAGTGACCAAATAAAATCTGGTGATGGATCATGAATTCTTCGTGACAGAATCAATATTATTTGGTGATGAATTAAATACTAACCATTATTTAATGCCTATTCGGGCAGTTCGCGTTGTTGTCATGCGTTGGTACAAGAATCATTCTGCCCTCGACTTCTTGGTTCAACTTAATAAACCCGATGTTTTTTACGTTCTTTGATTTTTTTTTAAGTTTTTTTTTGTTGTTTTCTCCTCTGGTGGATGGTCTTGTGGACTTGATAAGTCCTGCACAACAACTGCGAATGACACGCATTGGACGTGCACGTTTCATGATACCAAAAATTAAATTGTTTTCCGGGCTCAGAACTTTGAACCAGGAATAAAGTCGCGTAATAGTTCAGACACGAAACTTTACGTGCTTCAAAATGCGAGAAGGCTCAGGCTTTGTTCAAGGATATATGTATAAGATGCAGCGAACGCATGAAGATGTGGAATGTGGCAAAAAAGTTTCCCATAAATGGAATATACGGAATATACGGTAATAAGCAGTCTCTGTTGACCTTGTGGAGACAGTTTTGAGCCCTGCGGCGATTATCATTCCATCCTCCACTATTTATTGGAACTATCGACGGTAGAGGATATTCTGTTTTCTATTGTCTCTGGAAAGTTACAGCGGACATTTACTCTTTCTCGCTCCTTTCTCATATCAGGGGCGGATCCAGGGCGACAACCCTCCAATGGCCAGGTTACTGTTCTATTTTTTTCCGTTTTTTAAAAATAGTTTCTACATTAATTCTTATTGAAGCCAGTGAAATAGATATTGAAGTTTTTACCCCAGACGAGAAATGAAAAAGGCGATAGAGCTGGGAGTGGTGGAAGGCAGGGAAGGGGGGGGGGGGGGGGGGGGGGGGGGGGGGGGGGGGGGGGGGGGGGGGGGGGGGTCGGTAGGAAGTAGGGAACCGTCCCCCTATGAAAAATTTCTGTATCTGCACATGGTATGTACGAGGTATACGCTCATACATTTATGCCTCTTACTTGTGGAACGAATTGCAGAAGCATGTGTCTTGAGTTGCATAATGAACTACTTGGATCATTGCATTGCTTTGCAAAAAACAACGCAGAATTTGGAAGATGTCTTACACCACATTTTTTACTCACAGGACTGAAAAAGACCATTATCGGAGTATAGATATCATGAACCTGCATCATTTTGCGTTTCAATAGTCAGAAACGTCTTAGGGGTGTTTTACTCGCTTCCAATATTACTATATAAATGTAAATACACATTTTACGCACTCTCCTGGGGTGCACGATGTACTGACAATGTATTGACCATTTGAAAGACAAAGCCGAATTAACGACTGTCTCATTAATTTTTATTGAAAATGCTTTATTGGGAGTAATATTGAGTTCCATTCTGTCTGACCAATTCTCATTTGTTTCTTGTGTTCAATACAATATTGAGTAGCAAACACTCTTTCATAGGGTCTTCATTCAGTCTCATTTTACAGTATTTTGGTATTTGCTGCTTCTGGAGGTAAAGGTGGGATGAGCATTTTCTCGATCGGTTCCTTCATGGGTCCATCTTCGCTGAGAATGCATCAAGTGTGATTCATTATAGGAACAGCCACTGGAAACAATGAGGGATTTTAGCATTTCAACGGGAAAGGAAGACGAGAAGACAATTCCGCAACCTTTCTCAGGCTGGCAGAATGATAGCCGAATACTCTTCTGTTTCAGGATCTGTTGGTGCAGTTTTCTCGCCTGCCCACTTTCTAGGAATTTTCGAGAAAGGCTTTGTTCAACTGTGACTCGTAATGTCCAAATGGGCTTCTGTTCCCAAAGATATCTGCTGTTGTGAAAGTTTTATCTGTATGAGGATAACGTAGAAGAAATTGAAAAGCAAATCAGACGATCGGTTGTGGGAAGTTCTGTTTGAGAGTGAATAGATTTTCCACGTGCAGGAGTCACGAGGTTCACGTAACGCTTTTGTTGGCTATGTGTTGCATATACAGGGTCATCAGAAAAAGATGCTCCAGTTTTCATCACTTATATTTCCTGAACTACATTGCCAACAACTTCATATGTGGTATCATTCGACACGTCAGGCTTGGAAGTTTTGTATCGTACTATGCAGTCCTAGTGCTAATTTCGAGAAACAATAGCAAACAAGCTAGCGTATATCACAGAGCAGCGGGTGTTTATGGTGAAAACGTTTTATCAAACTGGCAGCGTTATTAAAGTGCAGTGTGGTTTTCGAAGTGAATTTTGACGTAGGGACACTCCAAGCACATCTGCAATAAACAGGCCAGTAACAAAATTCGTAAATACTGGTAATGTAAAGGACAATAAGAAGGAATATCGCGGTTGCTTCAGATGTGGATGTTCAAGAACACCGTACTCTTCTGAACTTATTACCTGTGATTACTTTTTATGGGGACTTATAAAGGTCAATGTCTACAGGAATAACGCATACGGTCGAAGAATTGAAGGCGGAAATCAGAACTGTCGTGGAAAGCATTAACCAGCAAACACTATTCGCGGTTATCGATGACCTCGGTGAACGCATGCAGAGGATCATGGATGCTGGAGGCTCCCACATTCAAAATGTGTTTTCATAATTAAAATCTCCCAAACATCCTGTGTTTTGTAAGCTATAATTCCAGATTCTATGTGTATTATTTTAGAAAATACTCGTGATGAAAACTAGAGCGTCTTTTTCTGATGACCCTGTATTTGCGAATATTACCTGTTTCCCAGCAAACTTTTTTTTTTCAAAAGCGTTCCACTTATCCAAGCGAAAAAATGCTTGTAAGTATAAAGAGACTGGAGCGAAGATATGCAAATAGTTGAAGATTTGATTCCAGGGAAAGAGGGAGCGGTAAAAGCCTGACGTGGATGTTTGAATAATGCAAAACCTCACCCAACTGATTCCAGACCTCCACTGGCGGTCACAACATTACCTCATGATATCGTAAACCGAGGAGAGGAGAGAAGCAGACTTCTTCGATCGAGACGAGAATTTCTAAGTCATCAATATCTTGACCTATAAGACGTATACGTGTTGGATGGGTGAGATCTTGCATGTTTCAATCTTTCCGTCTGTTTCATCTACCCTCGTCTTACGGTGGAATCAAATACAGGCGGAAGTTTAAGCTTATAACAACTGCTCTCAGAAATAAATGAAAACAGGCCGTCACATCTACTTCGTACTTAGCTTCTTCACTTACATTTACTTCTTTGCTTTTCTTATTCTAAAATTGGAACAATTGCAGAATTTACAGTGGGCGTTGAGAGTCGCATGTTAGCAGCTATTCAATATATACCATTCTTGAAATACTCTACCTTTTTCTTTTCTTTAAAGTACCTACAGTTTGAGCTTCAACCATGTCAGCTGACAACCTATATCATCCTCCTTTCATCCTGTGAGGGAATAATTTTTTTAATTTCCTTCCTGACCAAAGATAGGTTTAGGCAAATTCACCTGCCTTTTAGAAAAAAAAAGTATTAAAACATAGTTGAATATTGAAGCAGAATGAGCTTTATAGAGCCTTTGTAGCGAAGCGAATGATTCTAGTCTGTTCATGGAAAGAATGGCCTCTTACTCTTACTCTGATGATCCCATGCATTTTTTTTTCAGAAATTTGATTAAGTAAGCCGTATAGTTAGTGAGGTAGTCATTTATCTCGCGAAACTTTTTTTGCATGTTTAGTGAATCCTGGACGATTTCCTTGCTCTATCATGAAGGTATTTCTGTGTTAACGAGGAACCATTGAAGTAGCTCGTAGTTCGTACCACGGTGTTCCTGCAAAGCATATTTACCTCTCAAAGAAATCGGCTTAATCTCAGTTGCGATTTCCTTGTGACAATTGAGACATGCAATTCTCGCTTATCTCAGAATCAAAAGCAATCGTCAGGATTTTGCAAATTCCAGTTCTCTGACAGCTTCCATCGATGAACACACGCCAAAAGGATGCAAATGAATTGGAGTGAAAGAGAGTCGACAATTACAAGTCTTGCTATATTACAAGGAATACCATGATACCATCCATAAATTGTGAAATATTAAGTAATCCATAAGTGAAATTGCCCTGTTAGAGTGGCGTCTATACCCATAGACGCCACTCTAACAGGGCAATTTCACTTACAGAAAACTCTCCAGTGGAAAGTCTGATTTTTCGTGTGATAGAAATAGGTCGATCGCATCATCCTTTATTCTCCTGTCAGGCTACGTGGGGAAGCCAAATCTAGGGCACATTACCGATCAGGATGGTGAATGCGGCCGTGATCGATCCTTATCTTCACTTCATGGGCGTGTTGACAGAGCTTCATCGATAGAAATCTATTCCGGTGCTTAGTAGCTCGATCCCCGCTTCTCTGTGTGAAAAAAGGTCTCGGGAGGAAATAAAATACGAATGGTTCGAGTATTTGTTGCTGGGTAGCACTTCATGATATTTTCTGCTTGATTTCAACTATGTTCACAACTTAATAGTGGACCTCCTAGCTGTGTGATACGATGTTAAGGGAAGGTCATGTGGCCAAAAGTAAATAAGAAAACAAGATTAGAAATTCAATTAGAACAAGAAGATTTATCATTGCATTATACTCTCGTAAGAAAATTACGAAATCATTGCATTATACTCTAGTAAGAAATCTATGGAAGGACTGCAAAAATGCTTCAAGCCCCAACACTTGAGGGAAATCATTGTTTTATTCAGTAGATGAGGGAAGATTCATAGGTGGGAATGACGTATTTGATGTTGATGAAGGCCAATGGTCCACCGGTGCGTTCTAAGATTTCCAGGGTTTCCCAGATGAGGGCAGAAAGGCTCTCGCGAACATTCTGCCCGTAATCGATCCCATCCTCCAGGTTCCCTGTACCACATGCACACATGACGATTTTTCCTTCCCAGAGAAGTTGCATTCAAACATTTTCACTATGAATTATTTTTGTCGACGACATTTGCCATGGCTGTCTCCAAGTGATGATAAGTTGTTTTTTTTTTTAAGCTGAAAATCTGATTACAGAATGGAAGAGATTTCCGCCATTCGACATCGGACTATATGAAACGAGATGAAAAGCGCTAGAAAATGCCAGGAAAATTTTGTGAACGGAATAAGACTGGAAATCCAAACGGATGGAAGTCCAAACGCTTGTGGTTCGCATGGTGCTAAAATTCAGAGCATTTACTCTAAAAAATTTCCCGTTATTTTCAGATGGATTTACTATTGCCATGAACTAACGCCTTCACATGCGCGTTTGACAAGAATATTTTGCTCACGTTATTGAGTTTCGTTCAAAAAACAATAAACTTTACGGTCTCGGTAGATGAAGAGGTTGAGAGGAGGCAGAAAATGGCGATAGTAAGGGACCAATCCCTGTCCTGTGTCGCCGGATGTCGCCATCTTCTCTATCACTTTCAATGCAGTTTTCATTACTCCCGGATCCCTGCTGTTCATGGCTCCTGAGATATGACACGGTATGATAGGAGAGCGGCAACAAGGAAAAAAGAGAGAAGTAGGGAGAGAAAAGGCAACGAACGGCGGAGAGGGGGAATGAGAGTAGGGAGGAGTTGAAGGAGTTTGGGGGAAGCGGCATCTAACAGATCGAATACACCCTTTCTGGCGATGAACTCATAAGGAAATTCAACTTCCACCAGTCCGTCGAAAAAGAGCGGCAGGTAATATCCGACATCTAGCTCCTCCACCGGAACCTGGAATTGGACACGTCAGGACCTTTTGTCTGTGTCTGCTTAAGGTGTTTCCAGCGGAGTCTGTCTCAAGGGAAACGCCTTCGATGACAGGCGCGCATAAGACACGTACCAGCGACTTTCAAAGTTGTAATTTCGAGGAGTCTATGCAAACGAAGAGCAATTTTTTTTTTTAAATCCTGAGTCTTCATCGAAAAGCCGTCTGAAGTGCCCAATGACTGAATAGTCCTGAGGAGTTAAGAATGTTCAGCGCTGCTATCTGCCACTTTAGTTTAGTTTTGAACCTCCTCCACCAATATCAGCGCTGCAACTGTACACTGACGCTTCCTGATTTCATTAACAAGTGAACCCATTATTGCGTCTCGCATTTGACGTACTGGATCAATCTCCAAGAATTCTCCGTCGATGACCGGCTCCCCACCTCTACCGGGGGTGCACTGACTATTTTCTTAACGGGACTGCTCGAGTGAACTCAGTTCACCCAGTCGGGTGAACTCTGGTATAGTATCCCATTGATGGTGATTACGGAATGAAGGAAAGGGTTGAACGATTACATATGAAACTTCTTCCAAAAATGATAAAATCGCATCTAGCAGACCGCGCACAAGACGGAATACCCCAAAGAAAAAGGATTAGGCTTTTATTTTTGACGCCTTATAATATATCGCCTTAAAACCCGAGTTACTTACTTCTGCAGTACTTCTTACTTCTGCAGTAGAAGGTGAATTCTAATTGTGAAAAACTTCGCCAGGGGGAGAAACCTACCTTCCAATCGAGTTTGTTTCCTCGTGGATCATGGCGGATGGATAGAGGGAAATCACCGCGATCGTAGAATTTCCGAAAGACGTTGCTTGACTGGCGGCAGGGTTGCCGTATCCCCGTCCTTGGAGCCTCCCGACAGTAGGTGTTCGCTTGATTCACCTGTCCAATTAGTCATCGACGCTTCCATCATTTGTCATTCATTTCAGCTGGGTTCAAGTGCGATCGCGATAGAAAATTAATAGACGGCCAAAACCCTTCGGAAAAAAAGGTATCGTGTAGAACATGGCTTCCATAAAGATCTCAACATTGTGACAATCCCATCCTTTTCGTAATTGGTCTAAGTCAAGGATGGTATGGAGCAACTTCATGATGATAAGTATAGCCATATTTATGGTACCGGGTATTAGGTCATAGGCCTACCATTCCTAGATTGACTGACGCTAGTAAGGCATGATATCATTGTGGCTATGATGAAGGAAAAACCAGAACATGAGTTCCTTATAGGATTCCTGGCAGTCGATGCGTTTACAACCTTTTCCTCGAGAAAAAGCAAAGGTTCTCCTCTGTCTATTTAAGAATGCCTTAGGTTTCATCGAAGATACGTTCGAGAACTTGAATCCGGATTGTTTAAACATGACAGTACGGACATAACAGTCTAAACAGTATGACCATGAAAATCCCAGTCAGGTTTCAGGGTCAATGGCATGAATTGGTCACAGATATTTTGAAAAGTGGACGAGGAATGCGCGAAGACAGCGAATCGCTTCATAAGGAGGGTGAGCCATTCACAGCTTTCCTCTCTAGAAGAGTACTACACGGCCCAAGTCTCCATTTTGGGGAGCGTGGTCCTATGCGATTCTTTCTCTTTTAATAAAAAGGCTTTGAAAATCAAGTGAGTCTTTATGCGAGCCTGCCCTGAGGGATCCCAGGCCTCGACGGCATTTCAAAACCCTATACAGAATTGACCCGTGCATTTGAAAAGCGCATATCTTGTAATATTTGTATTGCTCATGCATTCATAAAATAAGTGCTCATTGAATCCTGTGAAGCTTGTAGCATATGCAATCAAATATGCTCAGTTTTAGTCTATCCGGTCCAACGCTGTAACGCCGGCATTGCCTGTTTTATGGCAGCTCATTAATTTTGTGACGTCATCAGCCTATCAAAACGTCGGAAAGGGGCTCGAGGCTATCAGTGACGCCCCTAGGTGTTCCTGACACTCGTCAGGCATCTTACCAAGATTTCTAAAATCATTCATACATGATGCCTCCCCCCCCCCCCCCCAGGAGCGTCGCGCCAGTGTCTGGCGGAGGGAACATGATGCCCCCCCCCCCCCCCCCCCCAGGAGCGTCGCGCCAGTGTCTGGCGGAGGGAAAATCACCCTCTCCCCTTAGGGGAGAGGAAAGTGGACGGCATTTAACGACTCCTTTGTGAATTAAAAATGTGGGAAGGTTGGACCGGATTGACCAGGGATGTGCAACCCGCGACCTGCGGGCCGCATGTGGCCCGTGGACCTACTTCTTGCGGCCCTGTAATGCATAATGGGATAAGAGATAAAATAAGTTTCATTGCGGACCCAAGGCCCATCACAACTTTAGCCATCCCTTAATAATAGACAATCCTTTTACTTCCTCCCGCTAATTATTCTTCACGCGGGCGGTGCTACAAATGTCCCGATGAAGGAGGTTCTCGATGCCAAAGGCCATTTTTGGACGTTGGAATTTCCTAGGGGAATTTCCTAGGGGTAGAGATAAGGGTCATCGGCTGATCAGCGCGACCTTATCCCTTCATATGCCCTGAGGGCAAAAGAGGGGAGCCTTTGCTTTAGCATTCTATGGCCCGCGTGAAGCTCAGACATTTCTAAGCCCACTGCCGATAAAGGTTGCACACCCCTGGGATAGACTTTGGGTGACATGCACCAGATCCGTTTAACTTTAAACTGATTCGTTTTCATAATGGGCGTCTATGGGAATACGTTTATCTTGGTTAAACGATTCCCTATGGGAATCATTGTGAGATCAGATTAGTTTAGCTTAAACGGATTCGGTGCATGTCATCCTATTTCAGCATGAATTCTTAAGTGGGAGATTCATCTTCTCTCGAGAGTGTTAATCGACTCTGATCGAAGTACAGATTGATATTGTCGATAGAAACAGGGTCCGAAATTCGCGAGAGCCCGAGAAGCGGAGATTTCTGTGACCGAACCACGGAAAGAAACCTTAGAAATCCGCTTTCGTGCTTATATTATTAAAGGGTCACGAAGAGGGGTAGGATTATCAGGAATTCCAGTGAGGGCCATGGGCCTTGACCTTTTCGCACCTGGTAGCCTGTCGTGTTCTATCGACTTTCCTTTCCCCACTGATTTCGTGCTGTCTATTCTGTGATGGGGGTTATTTTTTCCTGATCGAGGAAAATCCTACCTATCGTCGCATATTGTAGCCTATGAAGGTAGATCTAGAACCAATTGTTTGTTGTTTTTTTTTTAAAGCCACTTCGCTTTGCTTTTGAATAGAATGAGATTCTCAAAGAATGAGCGTAAGTGAGTGCATGGACTTCGCAGGTTTCTGGTTTCATTTTCAACAATGACAAATGCAATGGCAGGGTTACTTTCACAAGGAGCGCTGCTCTTGAGAGTGAACTCTTTTTCTATAAGGAATACCAGTGAGGTACATATTTTGTACGTTATGAGGTACAAACGTATGTCGTAAAATGCGTTCGTCGAAAAGGTACCAAAGTAAAATAAGGTAGAAGTGTGTACTCTTCTTGTCTCTATTCAGGAGGTACGGATGGGGTCTTTTAAAGAATTCCATGTGTACCTCGTTAAGGACTTAAGGGCGTTTGAAAGATCCTAATGTGAACCTCAATTTTCAGCTTTGATGAGCTGTAAAGTGATCTTTAGTGACATCGTGCGCATATCGCATGTTTCGGCACCGCGTCTCTAACAATCGGCGAACTGTCACAGATAAGGAAGATCTCCTTCATCCATGATGTAAACGGAGACGGTGACAGCTCGGCATTGTCTCCATGACGCTACAGGATGTCCTGGCTGTCTTATAGACGGCGCCTTCTCCAGTTCTCATGGAATACAGTTCGCTAGCAAATCCATACCTTTGTAAATACAATCTTTCAAGCTTATTGAAAGTTGGTTGCTCGTTTGTTCGAGAGTAAAAACTCCTAACCTGTCTGTTTACACTTCTCTGTCCTCGTGCAATACCCCAGCATTTAAAATTTCCCAGTTTTGTTGATTGCCATTGAAACATGCTACTTATTCTTTTACAGAATATTAGTTTACAAGTACAGGGTGATTCGATAGGTAGAGGCCGCGGGATTTCGCTAATATTTTCTTTATTTATGAACCGATTTCCATAAGACCACATTCAGCATATGATGCAATTGTGATCAATTTGTAATGGAATGAGGTCTGTTTTAACCAAATTTGTATGGAAATTGTTTCATAAATAAATAAAATATTGTCTGCAACGTAATTGCAATTGTGTCTGCAACGTACCAATGTGAATGTCTGGACCACATGCGCACAAAGGTGCGTATGGGGACCCAAAGGACACAACACACAAATATGTACGTCTCACATTTGTACCTCTCCTTGTAGGTTTCTACTTTGCTGTGAAGCGACGATCGCCTCCAGTAACTCATTGGTACCTGCCAAGATCCATGCATATTCTTCAAAATGATTCCTATCCTTTTTGCCATTGCCCCACCTTGATTTTGTAACATCATAATTCAACATCAATACGAACATTCCCTCATGGATGTCCCTCGTATCTAAAGCAAACCCTCCCCCGCTCTTTCTGCTCCCACGTTGTGCCTGGGTGAATTAGGGACTGTCCCGACCGGGACGTTGTCACCCATGGGCTCACCCTTTCTTTCGAACGTTCTATATCCTCCACTGATCTCACGCAATACAATTAAACAAAAATACGATGTGAAATGACCAACCTGGATGGAGAAGGGAGGGACTTCTCTGCGTTTGCCTTCCTGCTCAACGTTCACCGGCTGAGAATTAGTAGCGGCTGATCCACATACGGATGATCCCTTGCGCATGTATCTCCTGCACCGGCATTCTCTCTCTCCTCCTCTCTTTGTCCCACATTCCACTGGGCTTAATCCCTTTCCAAGAACGTGGAGTCCGGACTCAACGACTGGCACCGACACTGAATCTGCCTTTTCCTGCTTTATCGACCTAAAAGGGAGTTTCTTGGTGAAAATGCTCTCTCCCCGTCCACCCATCTTCACCGAGCATGCACGCGGTGCAATTCTTTCCCCTCCATAGGGTGCAGGCCTTTTATACCTACGTTAGCCATTGATCAAACTCCTGTCTTGCATGCACTCTCCGTCTTCTGCCACTCGAGATAACTGTTATTTTTTCTCTCCTCCTCATTGTCTTGTAAGTGCACGGGAAATGTGTTAAGAACAGCCCCTCGTAGAAGGCGAAGTAGAAGGATGTGGATAGAGAAAGAGTGATGGTTGGTGACTCTCCTCTCCTTTCCTGGAGAGGAGCGGCAGGTTGTCTGCTTTCTCGATAGAACGCCCCACATTGACCAAACGTAAACCACGCAATTATATTTGCATCCGTCCGCTCTCGTAGGACCTTATGAGATGCAGGAAAGCCTCATAATACAGTAGACGCGCATATTGTGATCACTGGTTGTTATCAGCCATATAATGTGATCAAATCTCGAAAACCAAAGCCAAATCCAGCTACCCATATGCTGCCGCCTATTCTTATCAGCCACCTTGTATTATCAAACTTCCTTGCACCGACGTGATCACAATAAGCAGCGACTACTATTATGACTGCCAACTTGATTAAACTAATCTCTTGCATCTCAAGAGAGAGGTTTATCGTATTTCTCTTGGGGTGTTCACAGAAAGGAACTTTGGGAGCTAAAACGATTTGCGAGCGTGGCGTGTATTACCATGGCAACCAATGCTAAAATGTGAAACTCCTTTTGAGCTTATGAATGTCCTTATGTTAACACAGCATCGAGGAGAGACTAAGACGACATCACTGACTAAATGGTGGAGTAATCTATTAACGATGCTATAGGTGATGAGGAATGAGACCCAGACCTTTTCCATTTCCGGATGTGTTATATCATATAATATAAACGTTGTGGAAGGAGGCCTTACGCGTAGGTATGACTGTATCCATTAGGATACAGTCATATCTACGGAAGAGAGTATTGACCTTCCAAACAGAAGGAAGTCAATGATTGGGTATAATATTTTAAGCCGGATCCCATTTCGCTCTCTACGGCAGCGGTACGGTACTCATCTTTTTGAGCTGGAGGCCGCATCCGAACCTAGCCAATGTTATGTAGGTCTCTCTGAAAAAAGGCTTACTGTGTTAATGTACATGTACTAATAGTTAATAACTAAGGAAAAATTCCGCATACTAGGGATAGCACGTCTTCAGTCCCTCTCCATAGATACAACGAACAAACGAATCAATTAAATAATAAAACCCCACCAAAATCTGCTTCTTTTTGGCACAAAAACCATTGTTCTTGTCCAAAAATGACTTAAGTTTCAAATTCACAATTTCACAATAAGGAAATGCGCGTGGTCCCACGCGGCGGACAAGCAAAAATAGGCTGGTCGTCAACGTGTTAAAAACAGGTACGGAATGCTGGATATCTAGGGATTTGCAGGTTAACTACAGGGCGTCTAGAAAGTGACTCCTTATTGTGAAATTGTGAATTTGAAACTTAAGTCATTTTTGGACAAGAACAATGGTTTTTGTGCCAAAAAGAAGCAGATTTTGGTGGGGTTTTATTATTTAATTGATTCGTTTGTTCGCAGTATCCCTCCATGACCCTCCACCTTTTTCCGTCATGCCATTTTGTTCTGATGAATTTCATTGCATTATTCTCTTCATTTCATCCTAATAAACTTGCTTTCTTAGCCTAAAGAAAATTTCGCAGCACGTCACACAGCTACATTTTCCCCCTTATTGTTATTCACAATTTTTAATCCTTGCCGTCCAAGTATCTTCAACGTGGAGAAAATAACCACTAAGGCTCTTCAGGCGCGTGGATCGGCCCGACGAGCCGCAGTCTAACGAGCGGAGAACCTTTCCACTGCTTCTTCCAATTACTGAAACCGTTGCTTATGAATTCACTCTCTTGTTTGAAGACCTGGGGAGGCCTTTCTAAACGCTTGCTTGCAAATGAAACAGGCCACCTTACCCATGGAGCTTTCGAATAATGGCCAAGATTAATGCTCCAACCATTTCGGATGGAATTTCCCATCACCGAGTTTGAAACAGAAAGCCGCTTCTAAAACTTCTTTCAAGTCATCTTTCACAGACTTTTCACCCCTTGTGGACCAATTTCTTCGATCCTCTCTGAATTGTCGGGGCATACTCGACATGGGACCTCGAAGGGATGAGATGACAGGAGGTGATGACTTGCAAAGTTGAACAAAACTCAAGAGATACGAACTTCTTGACTCCAATAGAAATCTTTCGGCTGGAACGTTCGAGAAAATATGATGAAGGGAGTGACTCCAAATGGAATCATGGGTCCGAAACGGGTTAAACTAAGGCGATTGCTCGAACGAGAAGAGTCTTTACGTTCCCCATCTCGTGTGCGGTCTACGCGGGGTTTTTGACATTGAACTTGTCTATTCCCCCAATAGTTTAAACCATGGCATGACTTGATCAAATGCCCCGAGAATTGGAGAGTAAGCCTGCACATCTGTATTGACTTCCCCCATCGAGGCTAGGAGGATGGATCACGCACGCATGACATGATTTATCTCTCATTTCCATTGCAAGTGATGACAGGTTCTTTTGCAGGGGTGGAGTGGAGATCGCGCGATGTCAGGCATGCGTGTCAAACCGCCGCGTTGAGAAAATACTTCACTTCCCATTTTTATGTGACTAACTTGTGTGGTGGAAAATGAGCAATTTTCCTTGGCTACGATCCTCAAAATCAACAAAACTAAGATAACTAATTTTTCTTATTTAAATATATTTAAATATCTGAAACAAAGCTAAAGATGAACGGAATTTCTGGATGCAGCTATGGTATCACTGCACAGACATGCAATCGGAAATTCGTTGTACGTTATTCATGACTTTCATCCGAGTCGTCGTCTTTCAGTTTTCAGAAAAAATTCAACGTCACATGTGCGGGACGCTTCCTCCCCTTTTTGCCCCTTTGCCCCTTTGTAGCCTCTCATGAGCAGAGGTTTGCCCGGGGGGGGGGGGGGGGGGGGGGGGGGGGGTGTGTGTGGTGTTCAGACCCCCTGAACTTGGCTGTGCCATTGTATTTCGTTCTCAATTGACGCCAAACGTGCTAAGTCCGATCTCTGAAAGTTGACTCCTGCCCAGAACCTGGTGGTTTCCCCTGGCTCATAAGGGTATCACATTGCTCAGAAC